GGAAAACTTGTCAAATTAATGTTGAGGCGCCTCTGAGGGCGGGAGCACAGGGGCTGTATGTAGAAAGAACAACCTGGTAATTTGCACAGAACCGAGTATGCTTCGGGAGACTATGGTCTGACATAATTATTGGTAACAATAATTCATTCATCATTAATAGTGGAAATCGAGGTGGTTTCTTGCCAAAAAGAAACTGACCCGAAAAAACTTCTCTTAAATTCTAACCAAGTCGCTGCAAATTAATAGCCAGAGCCTGTAAAACAAATCTGTTAAACTGGTGCAGTTTATGTTGCATTTCACCCCACCCGTGGGGCACAAAGCTTTCCCAAAAGATGCTAAAATACCATGTCCTCCAACAGAGAGCGAAAGAGAGAGGGAGAGAGTGGGACAGAGGGAGAGAGAGTGAATAAATTGGACACCATGCAACTCTCAGGAAACCCCTAGATACAAAGGAAGAAGTTGCTGCAGGATCTATGGACTTCGAGGTAAGTGAATATAGCAGAGACCCCGTGAGCGTCCCAGCTATTGTTTCACTGATTCTGTGCCTTACAGTTCCCCCTATTTCATGCAAGTGACCGGGCTTTTTCTAGTGGTCGAGTTTGTTCCCCGCCTTTCCTCCACCCCACCCCCGCACCCTCGCTTTCCATCCAGAGAACCCCGGTGGAGTTAGTGCTCCCCGTACTCCCCGAGCTAACGAGACTGCGGGTGCGGACTCTGCAGCGTTCCAAGTCCTCCCGCAGCATTCCAAACAAACAAGAGCAGAGCTACCCTCTCCTTAATGGAGTGTGGGCCGGTCACAAAGCCATGCAACAGCAATGCAGCCCCAACTCGTGGGGGGACACCCCCACAGATCTACGCAGCCTGACCATGGCCGCTTTTAGTCGCCAGCAAAACCTACTCAGAACACCCCGAAATAAAAAACAAACATGCTCGTTTTCCACGCGTGCAGTTAGTCCCTTTTTTATGAAGAGCCAATCTAGGACTATTTACCAGCAATCACCTCGGAAACGTTTTGCTTTACAATTGGTCCTGCTTCCCTCTAGGCTGCATGAGGCTGGCATTCACTTGTGGTTATTTGCAGTTTCAGTTCTAATCTTTAATTGTGCTCCTCATCTTGAAGGGTCTTGACGCTGTGTTATTTAAAATGAAAACAAATGCCCATTCACACACTGCGCTGTTTCTGTTACTCCCACCCCACTCCAGGCCCATGTATCGAAATGCACAAATTCTTGTTAGCAAGAGAGGAAGGAGGTGAGTAGCTGCAATTACTTTTTAAATACTTTTCTTCCCAATACCAAAATAATCAAATCAACTTCTAGTTTTGAGAATAGGCAAGTTTACTTTCTCCCTTTTCATTCGCGCAAGGAATCTTTCTACTGAAGCAGGTGGGAGGATTTTTGACTCTTTTTCTTTAAAGTTTGCAAACAATGCCAAATATGCTTTAAAACGAAGCAACGAAACATGCATACATACCTAAGTACATGCATACATCTTTATACGCATATATACCTGCTTATATATGTGTTTTTTCTATTGGTCATACCTAATGTATGTGCATACATTTAGATCTATAGGTAAGCGCACCCTTTGCGTGTGGGTATATATAGCGGTGTTTGCATTTACGTATGTATATACTGTGACATTCTCTCACTTTATTTGCAGGGGTTCGATCCTTGTCTTCTCTCTGCCAGCAATAACACCCATTGACTTCAGTGGGATTGTTGCCTGAGTAAAGATTACAGGGGCAGGCCTACAAAGAGGCTTTTAACTGGGGGACCTTTCGAAAACCTGCCGTGCCTACAGTGCCCCGCAGACATTGCAAATGGTATCCCGTTTAGCTAGAAACAGAGGCAAAAGCCTTGCAGCGCGTCCTGACAGCTTTATATTGTGTCAATCGCACCAGTTATTTGTTTAGCCAAATGTTTACTCAGGCAAGGAGAGGGAGATCGCAAAACGGATGTCTTGCAGTGGCTCGAGATATCAATAACTTTCTCGTGACTATTCAGGGCCCTCTTTTCGGTAAAGGATTTCACACGCACATTTTAGAGTGATATTTGAGCATTTTAGTAGAACCATGATGATATTCACAAAATAAGATGGTGCAGAGAATGCATCGAGAAATAAATACCTCCTTTGATAGTTTTCCATTTTCTCTTTCCAAACTTCCCTGGAACAATTGTTCTCTCCAAAACATCAGAGCAGTAAGCTTTCTTTCTTTCTTTCTTTCTTTCTTTCTTTCTTTCTTTCTTTCTTTCTTTCTTTCTTTCTTTCTTTCTTTCTTTCTTTCTTTCTTTCTTTCTTTCTTTCTTTCTTTCTTTCTTTCTTTCTTTCTTTCTTTCTTTCTTTCTTTCTTTCTTTCTTTCTTTCTTTCTTTCTTTCTTTCTTTCTTTCTTTCTTTCTTTCTTTCTTTCTTTCTTTCTTTCTTTCTTTCTTTCTTTCTTTCTTTCTTTCTTTCTTTCTTTCTTTCTTTCTTTCTTTCTTTCTTTCTTTCTTTCTTTAGAGTTATGCCTGTGGCAAATAGTGCCCACTCTGGCTGTCTTTCATAATTTTACAGTTAAAAGCAGCCATTAGAGGCAGACTGGGGTTTTTCAGTCTTTCCATTACAAAATCCCGTTTTTCACTAGTATATATCTCGATTATTGCAGAATGAAACTTCTGGGGTTGTGATAGCCCGGGCGGGTAATTTTTAAATTACAGGTGGACAGTATGTTGGTTTAGAAGTTTTTCAGTTCCAAGGGTGCTTTTGTCTTCTTCCTTCCTCTTGCTACTTTAAAAAAAGACAAACATTGTACTGCCATCCTTTTATTTCTCGTGCGAACTGAAGCTTTAGCATAGTTACTAAATGAAAAAAAATAAGCAAAAGAGCAAACACACTGAAGTTTAGAGAGTCTATTGTACAAGTAAAGTAACTCATCTTCAGAACATCCATAACTCCGTCAGTGCGTGGTATGGCGGGTCCTCTTGCTACTTTAAAAAAAGACAAACATTGTACTGCCATCCTTTTATTTCTCGTGCGAACTGAAGCTTTAGCATAGTTACTAAATGAAAAAAAATAAGCAAAAGAGCAAACACACTGAAGTTTAGAGAGTCTATTGTACAAGTAAAGTAACTCATCTTCAGAACATCCATAACTCCGTCAGTGCGTGGTATGGCGGGCCATGGTTTTTTTGCAGCATGGGTTTTTTTAATCGCCCCTAGATATACAGTGTTGTGGCGGTTGTGTCAATAACTTGCACTTTAAGAATCCCTTCAGTATGCACTGATATGACAGACTGGTCCACAGACCAGAATAATCTGGTCTCAACAAACTGCCACGAATGGTAGGTTTTAGGAGTGGGGTTGTGTAAAAACGTTGTCCTCTGTCCTGCCCATTTTAGAAGACTCCCTATAACTACATGGACATAAGAGGCCACTGGAAGACGGAATGAGACATTAGCTTTCTCCTATCCACAATCTGCTGAGTTCGGGTCGCTAAAATACCTGTTGGCGAGACAGAGCCCACCGATGTTAAATTTTGTCCCTAACTCTCAGAAGGACGGTCAGGCACCGAATGGAATAAGCATAAAATCTTTGTTGGTTCCGAGAGGATGTAGCTCCAGAACACTGTATCAGGGTTCATCTCAGAAACAGCCAAGGGTTCTGTGCCTCCTCCAAGAGGCATCTAGGGAAGTAGGTTTTACCCACGAAAGCTTCTGCACAAATATATCTGTTAATCTCTAAGGTGACACAGGACTTCTCGTTGTTATAGCAGATACAGACCAACACGGCTATCCCCGCGACTTGATTTTTAAACCCGTTTTAAGGAAATCAACCCCTCGGAAATTAAATGCACACGCGCACACAAACCAGAGTTCAAATGATATTGAAGAGCTGGTTTAAAGCCAGAAAAATCAAAGTTACGTTTGCTCTCCTGTACATAACTCAAGGAGTGTTACCTGTGCAGAGTATTCCTATGTGTACACAGCTCCTAGGGGCTTCAGTGTTAGACAGTAGGGTGAGCCTGGGATATGTTTCTAACATCTATGCGTTTAAATCAGGCCCTTTAATAACTGAGTCATTTAAGGTAATGCTTTCTTGGGTTTATCTGCTTGAATCCACCTTTCCCCATTACAATCCCCTCTCCCCCCTCCAAAAAAACTCCTCCTGAATCAATTACTAACTCTACAGCTGGGTAAAAGTCCGTTATTGATGCCAGAATAGCAACACTAATCTTCTATTGCCAAACACAGTGTCAATCAGTACTTTATCTTGGTCTGAAGAAGAAAATACAATAAGATAAGGCCGTCACTCCGGCCCTGGAAAGAAAGTTAAAGGGGCATTGGGGGGGTAAACTTTTCAATACCCTCTGCCTTTTGCTGAAAGTGATCTCTAGTGTAAGAGCCTTGGAGTTGGGAGGGAACCGAATTAAAATGGTCAGAATTATTCACTGAAAAATGCTGCACTAGTGACACCTGCAATTTTTCTTTCCCTCTTTTCCATAACACAAGTCAGGAACGGCTCTTAATACCATTTGCGGTACAGCTATTTCTGAAAGACAAGTACTTGGGGGGGGGGGGGGGGACGACGGGGGGGGGGATTCAAACAACTTTTTCATCTGAGGAAAACAGGTTTCTTTCTTTCTTTCTTTCTTTCTTTCTTTCTTTCTTTCTTTCTTTCTTTCTTTCTTTCTTTCTTTCTTTCTTTCTCAAATAGCACAAACTCAAACATATGCATATACACATACACATAATATCTTAGATGCGAGGAACCCATATATTACATTACATGTGATTCGCCTGTCCAAAGTATGAAGTTTCAATGGCATTTAGGCAACATATCTTTCTCTAGTCAATATTCAAGATAGTATGTGTGTGATCAGACTTAGAACAGATTTCTTCTTCTTCTTCTTCTTCTTCTTCTTCTTCTTCTTCTTCTTCTTCTCTTTATCTCTCTCTCTCTTTATCTCTCTCTCTCTTTATTTCTCTCTCTCTCTCTCTCTCTTTATTTGTCTCTCTCTCTCTCTTTCTCTCCCCCCCCTTTGTAAAAACAAGGAATAGTCCTGTAGCATTTTAGAGATTGAGAGAGAGAGAGAGAACCAGAGACAGAGACACACAGAGACTTACTTCCACAGATGAGCAGAATAATTTATCTTTGTAAATCCTCTATCCTTTTGCTGAAAGGGCGCATCAATTTTTCATTTGGCCCCTGTACGTCGGTGTTTCTTTTTGTCTCTTATTTCCCCGTGGAACGACAGTTTTCCCCTCCAAATTTTAACAGATTACTTTAAAAAGATTCTAATTATAAAACAAACAGAAATCTCATTTGGAAAAAAATGCGCCTGTTTCTTGTCCAAAGCGTGCTGAGATTTCCTGGCAGAGAGAGATGTTTGAGACTAGAGTTCCTTTTGAAAAATACTCTTACATGGGAGCAAAACCATTTAAGCAGCCACATTTCCCCTGACTCCCAGAGGTTTTGCTTCTTCTGTGGGCATCAGTGGGCATAGACA